TCCCTGGTTGCCTGAAACCCGGGGATGCGGCTTTGTTATCTCCGAGAGGAATTTCACCCGAAACAAACAAACAAATAGACCTACTGATGTAATCACACAAGTCTAACATCTAAAGAAAAAGCCGCATTCAAACAATGCGCATTATAAAATCCATGCTATTGACATCACTGGCATTCTTTCAGTGGACATAGATGATGGAATTTGTACAACGGTTTCCCAGATTAACAAGTTGGTTTGAAAACTAACTGTAAAATAATTGTTCACTGTTGTGATGAAGCAGTGGTTTAGTCGCTGTTAGCGGCGCGCTTTGAACTTTGCCACGTGAGGTTCGATCCCCGCCCGACACGCTGTGATTCAACTTTGGTGGTGTAGATAGATAGCTTTGCTATCATCCGATTCAATATCACGTGGTTCGCTATACCGAGCCGCTTGGGTTTAGGTTACCAGTCTGTCGATTTCCGGCTTTCATCTAAGTTGTCCGAATTTAAAGGCTACCTGGGATGACGGATTTTAAGTGAGAGAAGGACGCCACTGGTACGTCTGTCACAGTTCCGATCACAGAAGGGATACCGCCTATTGTCAAATTCAATACGGCATTGGGTTCCCCCCTCCCCTCTGATAGACACCCTACTTCAAGTCAAGTGTATAGGTGGGTGGCCACCAGCATCCATGACCGACAAACAGTTCGGAAAGATGTATTGTCCACATGGGTACCAGGCAGTAATGAGTCCTCTTCAGTATTCCCGTACGAATCGCAATCGCAAACGGCCGGAATGGGATATTGATAATTCCAATGATAAATAAACAGTCAGCAACTTGCATCTAATCAGTAGTAATAATAGTAGTATATATCTGAACGTTGCAAATGGCTTTGATCTTTGGTGCTCACTTTGAAAGTTTTCTCATACACACACATTTTATTTGATTTACGGTTGACGAATGAGTAACTGAGCAAATTTCTGATCGGTTTATCGTTGTATCGATCTCCTCTCCCCTCGGAATACAAGAGTTATGTAATCAGACAAATGGGACCACAGTGACAAGAGAAGAAAACAAGTATAACTCGATCGGACTCGTTTAATGAGAATTATTGTTATTGTCCCATGGCAGCTGACCTCGTTCTTCGACATAATGTCAAATGATTGTAGCACGTGATGCAGATGTTGGTGTTCTCGCAGACGTTACGTTAGGCTACATTAGCAGTACAATGCGAGCAAGAACCATTCCTCAGTGTACTCGCACTTCTATAATTCTATTCGAGGGTTTTGATTGGCTGTTTACGTCCCTTCAATCCTATTGGTTGAATGTAACCGTTTACTGTGATTTGATTGGCTGCTTCGTTGTCATAGTGACGTTGTTGACCATTGGTCGTTCTTATTTTCAAATTTAAATTACTCCATGAACCTAAGACAGTTCATTTCATCTCGCTCGTGGTTGATTCACTTGATCCGAATGCCATGTCGCGGCGACCGCCTTCTCCTACCAATGTTTTCTCCATTGCTATTTTGAATACCCGATAAGCAAGATACTGTTTTTCTTCACATTATCCCTGTCACATAGAGTCTCAACAGAAGTAAATCTGATCTGGTCATTCAAATGAATCCTTATTTTGTGACAGTACGCACCCACGCCCTTAAACCTACATACGTCCGATTTGTGACCCTTGCTATTTGTGCAGGTCGACTGTCAGGCGGATCCACAACAAGATTTTGTGCCCTGTTTCAAGGCTGGTGATCATCGAAGCAATGAGAATTTGGGACTGTTATCTATGCACACGATATGGGTCCGGGAACACAATCGTCTGGCCGATAGTTTACGCAGTCTCAATCCGGACTGGTTAGGGGATCGAATTTACCAAGAGGCAAGAAAAATTGTGGGCGCTCTGATGCAAGCAATCACCTATCAGGCCTGGTTACCGCATATTCTCGGCCCTGAGGGAATGAAATTGATGGGCGAATATCACGGATACGATGACACAATCAATCCGTCAATTAGTAACGCGTTTGCCACGGCCGCGATGCGTTTCGGTCACACGCTTGTCGCGCCGGTCATGTTTCGTCTAGATCAGAATTGGGATGCGATACCCGAAGGTCATCTACTATTGCACCAGGCCTTCTTCGCCCCGGATCGGATGCTCAAAGATGGCGGTCTGGATCCGATTCTTCGTGGCTTGCTCTACAACGGTGTGAGAGATCGATCTCGCACACCACCATTGAATCCGGAACTCACGGAACGTCTGTTCTTCATGGCTCATGAATTAGCCCTCGATTTGGCCTCTTTGAATATCCAACGTGGTCGTGATCACGGACTTCCAAGCTACACAGAATACGCGTATAAAGTTTGCGGTCTCGGATCATCTGCACATCCGGACTCGTTCGATGATTTGCGAGATCGAATCTCCAGCGATGATATTCGTGCACGACTTCGCAAAGTCTACGGTCATCCAGGCAATATCGATTTGTTTGCCGGAGGCATATTAGAAGATCTTCTCCCCGGTGCTCGTGTCGGTCCAACGTTTGCGTGTATTATCGCGGATCAGTTCAAACGTCTGCGAGACGGTGATCGATTCTGGTACGAAGCTCACGGTATTTTCACCCCAGCCCAGCTGGCCGAGATCAAACGATCGGGGACCAGTTTGGCCCGGGTAGTTTGTGATAACGGAGACAATATCACTGTGGTGCCTCGTAATGCATTCCTACGTCCCACCAAATTGGAAGATCTGGTTCAGTGTTCACAATTGCCCAAGTTAAATCTAGCTGCTTGGGTGGATTGTTCACCCAGTCCGATTGAAAGCTCTCAGCCCGATTTGGGTCGAGTGCGTCGACGACGTAGCGTTCCACCCCCGGACGAGGGGGCTAACTGTCCATCAATGGGATCGCGCCACGGAAGCATGATTCAAGAACTGCATGCAAAAATCCGTGATTTGGAGTCTCAAATGATGCGACTGAAGTATGCATTGAATTCTACCGTACCGACACCCTGAGAAAGTCTCGATGAAACTAGTCTCATTGTGGTCCTAACACAAGTCATGATTGTCAAACTATCATTATATTTTCACAAAAAGCGACGTATGCATTTTGTCATTGAATTGATCCTAGGCTTCTGATGTGCAACTTCCACTTTCACAAAGACATAAATTGATCCTAACGGGCAAACATTTACTTGGTGGCATCGTTTTCTAGCCACAGAAACTAGCGATTTTCTTACCATCGTTTTGGAAAACAAAACACTGTTTCATACTTATTATTATAACCTTATCTTCAATCATGTAATAATACCGGTTTCCTCTCTAAATCGTGTGTCTGGCAAATCTTAAACAGTGATCACCCGCGACACATTTTGACACAGAACTCGGGTGTTGATTGGTCAGGTTTGCGACCAATCACAATGCGCACGTGTATTAGCCAATTAGAATTTTGACTGGGAATTGGTCCGAGTTTACTGCTTTTTTGATGCCGGAAATGGGCGGCTTTCTCTGAAAATCCGTTTTGAAATCGTTTGCAATAAGAGGGAACCTAATGTTGGCTTTCTGTTGGCTATATGAATGAAAGTGACAAAATGAGATCACTCTTTGCAACTACTCTACCCGGCAACGTTTCAATGAGATTTGGTTTTGTGTGATCGTCTGCTGCGAGCAATGCGTGCGTGATTCTGTCGGTTTCATGTGCTATTTCTCAAGCTGTCTGTTATTGATTACAGTCAAGTACATTCGTGATAACGGTTTTTCCATGCACCCGGGTTCCTAGGGTGGAAATTAGGAAGATTAGTTATTCAATCTGCAAGCAAAATCACGCGATTTCAGTCATAGGGGACTACTAGTTTTACTTAATACAGCATGCCAAGAGCGGTACACTCCGATTCATATACCTTAAGCAGTAACTGCGCTAAAGTGTCTAATCTTCCATGACGATATTTGCCCAAATTTGGTCTCCCTTCTACGGTCTCCGCTTTTAAACAACTATTCATGCACTGTTCTTATTCCTCAAACTGATTANGATTATAGTGTAACCCTAAACGTCTGTTATCTATTGTTTTGAATGTTCTGCACAGAATTCATTCATGAATTTAGAGAAACCTTTTGCTGTTTTATTCATCTCAACACCTGTTTCGACAATTTTCCACTGTCCTGCATTTGC